CTCTCTCTCTGCCATCACCCCCCACCTCTGCCCACTCATATGCATGTACTGTCTAAAAATAAATGAACTTTTTAAAAAGAAATTTACACTGGATCATTTATAGTGAGGCTTCAAGTTTCACTTCAAGTGAGCCCCTTGTATGTGCCAGCCCTAATACCTATTTTTGTGTAGGAATTTCGTCAAATGTTTTTTTCTTTTTTCTTTCTTTTCTTTTTTTTTTTTTTAAGTAGGCTTCATGCCCAATGTGGGGCCCAATGTGAGGCTTAAACTCATACCCTGAGATCAAGACCTGAGCTGAGATCGAGTCCAATGCTTAACCCACTGAGTCACCTAGTAACCCTTATTTTGTAAAATGTTTTCTTAAACCCCCAAATTTGTTTATGCTTCAGTCTACATAAGAACTAAATCCACCACTACATACTCAAATGTTATGAGATCTTTTGGAGAAATAATAACACAGAAGTCCAATTTTATGTTTAATTAATCTTTTCTTGATTACCCTCCAATAAAAAGAAAAATCAGAAAAATATTTTGGTGTTTTAAAGTCTGACTTAGGCAACTTGATTCAGCAGGAAGTTTTCTGGAATGGGCAATCAGAAGACCTGGGTTTTAATTTTGGGTAACACAATTACATAGGTGTGATTTGACACTTCTCTGAGATTTAGTTTAAAAAATAAAAGAGTTGAAAGTTCTGATCTTTAAAATCTTTCAATATGAAACATTCTGATTCTTACTCCCTAATGCTGAAATAGTGTGGTTTCAGTGTTTTGTTTTGTTTTTTCAAACTAGTTGGCTTCAGGTTTATTGTTGAAGTAGTATGATTACAATGTTGAAAGTCAACGAAGACCTTCCGTGAATTATCTTCCTTGAAAGTTTCTGGGAAAAGGGAACTTCTGAAAAATAATTCTATTTCTACCCATCAAGTGTTCTTCCTTATATTAAGTTAGCGTGTCTGTGAAAAAATAATTTACTTGATTGTCATTGTTGAAAGATTTCCATTTCTTAAAGAGTGAAGAAAATCATTTCAGTTGTGCATCTCTGATGAAATCTTCTCCTCTCAGCAAGTTGGACTGTTCTGTTGGCCCAAGGGCCCAAGGGCCTAAGACCAGAAATACTGCATTCTTGGCACAGATCTCAGTTCTCACTATAAATGCAGACGGTAATTCCCTGCCTAGCATTTCATCTTCAGTTAATTCTTGAAAGGCCATCATCCTCTTGGAAGGAAAAATGTCCTTGTTCACGTTTGGAGGGAAGGATAAAGTTAAAGATCACTTTTAGAGTAAGACTGGGATGAGAAAGGGAAAGAGATGTTAGCAGATTTTTGTAGAGTACCTTCTCTATAAAGATGTCACAGGGCACAGCAATTCAACTCTTAGGTATATGATCAGGATAAATGAAAATATATGTCCACGCAAAAAATTGTGCACAAGTTATTATAATAGCATTATTCATAGTAGCCAAAAGGTAGAAACAATCCAGAATGTCCATCCACTAATAAGTGGATAAACAAAATATGGTATATTTATATGATGGAGTTTTATTCAGCAATAAAAGAAATTAAATATGGATTCATGATACAACATGGGTAAACCTTCAAAAAGGCATGCCAAGTGAAAGAAGTCAGTCACAAAAGACCATTCAAAAGAAATGTCCAGAACAGGGAAATCTACAGAAACTGAAAGTAGACCAGTCTACTGGTTGCTCAGAAATGGAGGCATGCAGGGTAATAGCTAATGGGTATGGTACTTCTTTATGTGGTGATGAAAGTATTCTAAAATTGACCAAGGTGATGATTGCACATACCTGTGAATATGCTTTAAAAAAAATTGACTTGTACACTTTAAATGTGTGAGTTGCATTATATCTTTATGTGATTTATATTTTTAAAAAAAGAGGCCACTTTTAAAAAATTTTTAATGTTTATTTATTACTTTGAGAGAGACAGAGACAGAGCATCAGTGGGGGAGGGCAGAGAGAGGGAGACACAGAATTTGAAGCAGGCTCCAGGCTCAGCACAGAGCCCAACTTGGGGCTTGAACTCACCTTTAGATCCTAACCCAAGCCAAAGTCAGATGCTTAACTGACTGAGCCATCCAGGTGCCCCAAAAGAAACCACTTTTTTGAAAAATGTTATGGGTTACAGTATATATATATTTAAAACGGAAGCAAAGGGAGATATTAGTAGGTCTTATACCAGGGGTGATGTTCAGCTGGGCTGTGAAAGTGGTTTTGGGGTTTGGATATTCTAGTCAGAGGGAATATTATAAGCAAAGACAAAGGTATGAAAATATAATTGTAGAGTAATTCATTTTTTCCTGATTATAGAGTTGAAGAATTGTGGTTAGAGTAGTGGTTTGAGGCCAGCTTTGAATCATAGTTAGGTAAAGTTATTCTTTAAACTATAGGCCTTAGGGAGACATTGAAAGATTTTGAGCAGAGATGTGATATTATCTGAACTTTGCTTCTGGAAGATGATTATGATAATAATGTTTTTAAGATGAATTCCAGAAAAGATAGAATAGAATCTGACCAAGAAGAGGCAGAGGAAAGAGATAACAGACATGGAAAGTGAAGAACAGATAAAAAGAAGTATTTGAAACAGAATTATAAATTAACTGAGACAGAGAATTGGGAAGCGTCAAAGTTAATGTGAAGTGTATGTGAGGGGAGAAGCCAAAAACATACTTGAAAATATGGGTCTTGGGGCTTTGAAAGGATATCAGTGCAGTCTGATGCCATAGCATTACCAGGAACCATTGAATACACAGAAAGTAGGATAGCAGCTTGCAGTCATACACAGGGCTGTAGGAGGAACATTCATTTAGAGACCAGAGAGAAGAGGAGAAACTAAAGGAGGAATAATTTGGAAAAACAAGAAAAGACAGTTTTATGGAATTCAAGAGACATTTATTTTTTTTATCTTTATAAATAGTTTATTGTCAAATTAGTTTCTACATAACACTCAGTGCTCATCCCCAAAGTGCCCTCCTCCATGCCCATCCCCCCCTCCCCCCCACATCCATCAGTCCTCAGTTTTTGTCAGCATTCAAGAGTTCAAGAGACATTTATAAACAAAGAAAGGAGCTTGTGAAATGGAAGAAAGCTGAGAACATCCCTTAGGTGTAACAGATCAACTTGAGTATAGTTTTCAGCCTCAACAGCATGTGCTGTCTTGAAGCAGGGAGAAAAAAAAAGGTAAAACCAAGAAACTTTCATTTCTAGAAGTCACAGAGTTTATTACATTTATAGAGCTATGCAACCGAAGATAAAGAACACATTTTAAGAAAATTATGTAAGAATGAAGAAGCATTTAGGGGGGAAAAAATACTAAGCATGCGTGTCCATAGCATGTCCAAATGCCAGTGAACAGTTCCTCCTGCATCTGAAATTCGGTCATGAGGATGTTAGTAAATGCCTTATTTTAAATTACTTTCTTAGAAATCTTGCAATTAGTGTTCATCTAATATCCTAAGGAATATTTTAGTTTATTGAAGCTATAGTCAGGCTCTATTAGCAGGGTAAATATGCAGACTTGGCAGTAATTGATTGGTTTAATTGTTAAGTAAAATGTGATACAGAACTCAGGCAAGTTTTAGCTACCACTTAATCTAAAACATTCCACAGCCATAGAATCAGAGGGAATAATAAAAATAATGAGAAAGTTTAGCTTATAAGGATAGACACGAGAGGAGATTGAGATATCCTGCACAGGAAAAATGTGAAAATGGAGGTCAATAGCTTTTTTCCAATTTTTCCCTCTCTATAAGGTTTTCATCTCCAAAGCCAGTCTGGTTATCTAAAAGTTATTTCATTATACATATTATATGTTTTAAATTCTTATATTCTTTGACCAAATAACTCTAGTTCTAGGAACCCATTCCAAAGAAAGCCCTGAAACATAGATGAATAATATGCTCAAAGATCTTCAGAACCCAGTAATATTTAATAGTTCAACAAAGAGTTGAATACAACCTTGGCTTCCAATTGAGGAGAAAGAGTTGTGAATGGAATAGGAGATACACATTGAACAATCATTAAAATGATCTTTCTGAAGAATGACAACATGGCAAAATGCTTATAATACAGAACTAGATTTTAAAAAGTAGTTTGTGGGGGCTCCTGGGTGGCTCAGTCAGTTAAGCGTCCGACTTCAGCTCAGGTCATGATCTCGTGGTCTGTGAGTTCAAGCCCCATGTCAAGTTCTGTGCTGACAGCTCAGACCCTGGATCCTGCTTCGGATTCTGTGTTCCCCTCTCTCTGCATTCCCCTGCTTGCACTCTGTCTCTCTCTCTCAAAAATAAATAAACATTAAAGAAAATGTTTTTAAAGAGTTAGACTATGTAATTATATGAATAACTGATCTCAGTTGTATATAATAAAATAAACATGATCATGAGGAAATAAACATAAGCATAGAGAAAAATACACCAAATTGTTAATGGGCTTTGTCCTGGGTAGGATTATGGGCTTTTCTTCATAATAGTATATATTTCCCAGATTTTATACATTGGACATGTACTACTTTAATGGATAATAAAGAATAATCATTACCCCCTAAATGCAGAAGATCAGCTATAGGAGAGCCAAAGAACGGGTAGATAGATGAGTCAATGTAAATCATCATGCCTATTGGAAAAGCAATTAAGAATATAAGCCTTACTGACAGACAATCAGTAGCATCACTGCCTACTGTCAGATTACTCCTGTCTACTGGTGGCCTCTATTGAGTTTCCCTGGACTCAAACAAACTAATGGAAATCTCAGTAGAGATTCTGAAATCTGAGGACACTTTTATTTCCCTGGGATTGCTTGTGAGAGTGTAGCCCAAGTCTTTGATATGAAAATCTTTCCTTTTGTATTTGTCGTCCACAATCAGATAAAGATAAAAGTTTTACCTTCATAATATTACATTTGCAAATATTTAAAACTTCCATATGATTAATTATTGCCTCTTTAATTTTGCTTCTGTAATTATCTATTTTACTCTTCTTTTTCCATAGGGACATCGTAAATGCAAAAGACAAGTTTTAAAAGAGGACAAGAGTTTGCTGCTAAGATGAATCTGAACAATACAGTATATTTTGTGCCATTCACAAAAAGGTACTGTCCATCGATCCATGATACATCTTTCTTCTATAAAATGGGAAGAGATGATGCTTCTGGCTTTTCTGTAATTAATATTTGTTATACTTTTAAGAACAATAAAGGGGAAAATAAAAATATTAATTAAATTGGGATAAAAAAATTTTTAATGAAAATTTTTACTTTCAAATTCTTTTCCTTGCAGATTTTCATCATTCTCAGTTATAGCTTACAATTTGGAGAGACACTTGTTTAAAAGAAAGGCCCTTACCTAAATTTTCTTTCTTTTCTTTCTTTCTTTCTTTCTTTCTTTCTTTCTTTCTTTCTTTCTTTCTTTCTTTCTTTCTTTCTTTCCTTTCTTTCCTTTCTTTCTTTTTTAATATTTATTTTTGAGAGACAAAGAGAGAACATGAGCGTAGGAGGGGCAAAGAGGGAAACAGAATCTGAAGCAGGCTCCAGTCTCTGAGCTGGCAGAACAGAGCCTGATGCGGGGCTTGACCTCATAGACCATGAGACCTGAGCTGAAGTCAGAGTCTTTAAAAAAAAATGTTTTTTTAATTTTTTTTTTTTGAGAGAGAGAGACAGTGTGAACAAGAGAGGGTCAGAGAGAGAGGGAGACACAGAATGGGAAGACAAGAGCCCTACGTGGGGCTCGAACCCACTACTGGGAGATCATGACCTGAGCCGAAGTTGGATGCTTAACCGACTGAGCCGCTCAGGCGCCCCCTAAATTTTCTTGATACCCATTATCAAATCATCTTCTGGAAATATATACTCCCTTTTTTGTTGTAGAGCTTTATAATCAGACTTTGAAGTAACATAGGTTTCTCATATCACTTTTCCTCTAATTACAGAAGTAATAGGTGTTGCAGAAAATTTAGAAACTACAGATAAGCAGAAAGAAGAAAATTTAAAATTACCTGTAATCCCTACACCTACTTCAGATAAAACAAGCCTGTAAGGAAATCCAAACTTGGAAATGAAAGAAGCCATGTTTCCCATCTTTGTTGTTTCATCCCTCTTTATGCTCTACCTACTTACATCCTGCCTCTTTGGCTAAAACAAAACAAAAAGGACATTGCCTTATGTATGTTCCTAGAAGGATATTACTTGGCAAGAGAATGTATCCATTCTGTTCTTCCAGCAATGTGTAAAAATGACTATTTCCTTATGCCCACACCCAAAACTGTATCTTTTTTCTATTACTTTGTCAGGTTGGCAGGTGAAATGAGTTGCCTTATTAGTTTACTTTTTACTTCTTTGATTTACTAGCAAAACTATATATATTTCATATTGTTAGTAGCCACTGCTAATTCTTTCTTAAATTTTCTGTGTCCTTTGACTGTGTGAGTGGATGTACATATGTGTTTGTGTTTACTTTGCTTATATATATGTTCTTATTGAAATGTAACATACAGTGTTATATTAGTTTCAGGTGTATACACTATAATGATTCAACAATTCTATACATTACTAAATGTGCATCAAGATAAGTGTACTCTTACTTCCCGCTTTTGTCTGTTTCACCTCTCCACTCACCCACCTCCCCTATAGCAACAGCTATCAGTTTGTTCTTTGTATTTAATAATTTTTTTTTGTCTATTTTTTTTTCTTTGTTCATTTGTTTCTTAAATTCCACATATGAGTGAAATTATATGCTATTTGTCTTTCTCTGACTTATTTCATTTTGCATTATGCCCACTAGGTCCATCTATGTTGTTAATGAATGTCAAGATCTCATTTTTTTTTTTACAGCTCTGTGTGTGGGTGTGGGTGTGGGTGTGTGTACATCACATCTTCTTTATTTTTTTATAATTAAATTAACTTTCTTTATTTTTTCTTTTCTTTTAATGTTTTATTTATTCTTGAGAGAGAGAGAGACAGAGAGACAGAGAGACAGAGACAGAGCATGAGTGGGTGAGGGGCAGAGCAAGAGAGGGACACAGAATCTGAAGCAGCCCCCTGTGCTGTCAGCACAGAGCCCGACATGGGACTCGAACTCACAAACCGTGAGATGATGACCTGAGCCAAAGTCTGATGCTCAACCGACTGAGCCACCCAGGCATCCCCACATCTTCTTTATCCATTCCTCTATGGATGGACACTTCAGTTACTTCCATATCTTTGCTATCGTAAATGATGGTACAATAAACATAGGAGTGCATATATCTTTTTGAATTAGTGTTTTCATTTTCTATGGGTAAATACTCAGTAATGACATTACTGGAGCATATAGTAATTCTATTTTTAGTTTCTTGAGGAACCTCTATACTGTTTTCCACAGTGGCTGTCCCAATTTGCATTCCCATCAAGAGCGTATGAGTGTTTCCTTTTATCCACATCCTCGCCAATACTTGTTATTTGTTGTGGTTTTTTTTTTTTTTAATGTTTTATTTATTTCTAGGAGAGAGAGAGAGAGAGAGAGAGAGAGACAGCGTGAGCAGGGGAGGGTCACAGAGAGAGGGAGTCACAGACTCTGAAACAGGCTCCAGGCTCTGAGCTGGCAGTCAGCACAGAGCCCGACGTGGGGCTCGAACCCACGAACTGCGAGATCATAACCTAAGCAAAAGTCGGACGCTTAACCGACTAAGCCACCCAGGCGCCCCATTTGTTGTGTTTTTTTATTTTAGCCAATCTGGCAGATATAAGGTGATATCTCATTTTATTTGCATTTCCCTGATGATGAGTGATACTGAGAATCATTTCATGTATCTGTAATTCTGGATATCTTCTTTGGAAAAATGTCTTTTCATCTTCACCCATTCAGTAGACTGCCTTGTCATTTTGTTGATGGTTTCCTTCTCTGTGCAGAAGCTTTTTACTTTGGTGTAGTCCCAACAGTTTAATTTTACTTTTTTTTTTTCTTGCCTGAGAAACCCTATCTAAAAAAATGTTTTTAATGGCCAATGTCAAAGAAAGTATTGCCTATATGCTTTCTTCTAGGAGTTTAATGGCTTTGGGTCTCACATTTAGGTCTTTAATCCATTTTGATTTTATTTCTTTGTATGGTATAAGAAAGTGGTATAGTTTCATTCTTTTGCATATAGCAGTCCACTTGTCCCAGCACCATTGAAGAGACTGTCTTTTTCCCATTATATATTCTTGCCTCCTTTGTTGTAGATTAGTTGGCCATGTAAAGGTGGGTTTATTCCTGGGCTCTTTCTCCTGTTTTATTGATCTATATGTCTTTTTTTTGTGCTAGTACCATTCTGTTTTGATTACTGCAGCTCTGTAGTATATCTTTAAATCTGAGATTGTGATAACTCCCGCTTTGTTCTTCTTTCTCAAGATTGCCTTGGCCATTCAGGGTCTTTTTTGGTTCCATACAAATTTTAGTATTATTTATTCTAGTTCTATGTAAAATGTTGTTGGTATTTTGATAGGGATTGCATTAAATGTATAGATTGCTTTGAGTAGTATGGACATTTTAACAGTATGGTTCTTCCATTCCATTAGCATAGAATATATTTCCATTTATTTGCACCATCTTCAATATCTTTCACCAATTTTTATAGTCGTCTATCTGATATTAAGAATAACTTTTAAGGCAGAGAAGGACAAATATCATATGTTTGCACGTATAGGAGGATTAGGAGGAACTTGACGGAGGAACAAGGGGGAGAAGAAGGGCGGAAATGGTGGGGGAAAGGGAGAGAGGCAAACCATGAGAGACTCTTGAATGATGACAAAAACTGAGGACTGATGGATGTCGGGGGGAGGGGGGGATGGGCATGGAGGAGGGCACTTGTGGGGATGAGCACTGAGTGTTATGTGGAAAGTAATTTGACAATAAACTATTTGTAAAAAAAATAAATAAATAAAAATAAAAAAAGAAATTAAAAAAAAAGAATAACTTTTAACCAGCATATATTTTGCAAGAATTATTCCTACTTTATTTGCCTTTCAGTTTTGTTTATTAAATCATTTTAAAACAATCTTGTTGATGTATAAGTGACATAATAATCTGAATATATTTCATGAATATAATATGTTTTACCAAAATATGTATCTGTGAAGATAGTAAATCTATCCATCGCTCCCAAACCCTCCTTGATATCCCTTTTTAATCTCACCTCCATCCTACGTCTTCTCATTCAGCCCTATCCCCAGGTAACCACTGATGTACTTTCTGTTACTTTATATCAGTTTGCATTTTCTAGAATTTTATAGAAATGAAATTATAAAGTATGTACTCTTTTTGGAGGAGAGTCTGTCTTCTTTTCACTCAACATAATTATTTTGAGTTTCATCCACATTGTAGCACATGTCAATAGTTCATTTTATTGCTGAGATGCATTCTGTTATCTGCATGTACCACAAATTGTTGATCTGTTCCTTCACTGATGGGTGTTTGGGTTGTTTCCAGTTTGGACTATTAAAAATAAAGCTGCCATAAACATTTGTATACAGGGCTTTGTATGGACATATGCTTCCATTTTCCTTGGGGAAATACCTAGGAGTGGAATGGCTACATCATATGGTAGATATATGTTTAACTTTTTTTTTAATTTTTTTTAATGTTTTATTTATTTCTGAGAGAGAGAGACAGCATGAGCAGGGGAGGGTCAGAGAGAGAGGGGGATACAGAATCTGAAACAGGCTCCAGGCTCTGAGCTAGCTGTCAGCACAGAGCCCGATGCAGGGCTCGAACCCACGAACCACAAGATTATGACCTGAGCTGAAGTCAGATGCTTAACTGACTGAGCCACCCAGGTGCCCCTATGTTTAACTTTTTAAGAAGCTGCCAAACTTTTCCAAACTTGACCATTTTTACATTCTCTCCAGCAGTATGTGAAAATTACAGGTACTTCACACCCTTGCCAACACCTGGTATGCTTATTCTTTTTAATGTTAGCCATTCTAATAGGCATGTAGTAGAACCTCAGGTTTTAATTTGTATCTCCCTAATGAATAGTGATACTAAGCATCTTTTCTTTTGTTTAGTTGCCATCCATATATCTTTCTTGGTGAAGTGTCTGTTTTAGTCTTTTTCCCATTTTTTAAAAAAATTTCTTTATTTATTTTTAGAGAGACAGAGACAGCACAAGTAGGAGATGGGCAGAGATGGGGTGAGAGGGAGAGAAACTTAAGCAGGTTCCTCACTGCCAATGCAGAGCCTGACGTAGGGCTCAAACCCACGAAGCTGTGAGATCATGACCTGAGCCGAAAGCAAGAGTTGGACACTTAACTGAGCCACCCAGGCGCCCCTAATCTTTTTCCCTTTTTAAAAATTGGGTTGTTTATTTTCTTTTTATTGAGTTTTGAGGATTTTTCATAGTTTCCAGATACAATTCCATTATGAGACATATTTTGCAGAAATTTCTTTCAATCTGTGTCTTGGCTTTTCATTCTCTGAACAGAGGTCTTTCAAAAAAGTACGTTTTTAATCTTGATGAAGCCTAATTTATCAATTACTTCTTTTATGGATTATGCTTTTTTTTTTTATATGTCTACAAAATCTTTGCCTAACTCAACATCAGGAAAATTTTTCTTATGTTTTCTTCAAGAATTTTTTTAATTGGCTCACTTAAGTGTCCAATTTGACACTTTTTTACTTTCTTTTTTCTTGCCTTATTATATGTATACACCATCCAGCACAATATTGAAGACAAGTATTGAGAGCAAACTTTCTGGCCTCATTCCTGATCTCAGGAGGAAATCACTTGGTCTTTGATATTACCTATAAATGGTTCATAGATTTCCTTTATCAGGCTGGGGATATTACTTTTTATTCCTAGTTGGCTCAGAGTTTTTATCAGGTTTGAATTTTAGATTTTGTCAAAAGATTTTGCTGCATCTATAGAGATAATCATTTGGCTTTTTTTTCAGATTGTCCATTTGGTAAACTACATTGATTTTTGAGTGTTAAACCAACCTTGCATTCCTGGGATGAATCCCACCTACTCATGATATATTATCTATTTTATATGTTATTGAATTTTATTTACTGTAATTTTGTTATCAGTTTTTGCATCTATATATGTGAAGAATTTTGGGGCACTTGGGTGGCTCAGTTGGTTGGGCATCCAATTTCAGCTCAGGTCATGATTTCACTGTTCTGCTTGTGAGTTTGAGCCCATGTTGGGCTCTCTGCTGACCGCTCAGAGCCTGGAGCCTGCTTTGGATTCCATCTCCCTCTCTCTTTCTCTTTACCTTACCACACTTGTGCACTTTCACTCTCTGAAAAATAAATAAACATTTTTAAAAATTTTATATATGAAGAATTTTGATCTGTTTTTTCTAATGTTAGTTGTTTCTGGTGGTAGATAATAAATCCAGTCCCCATTACTCCATCTTGGCTAAAAGCAGAAGTCCATTCATTGTATTTTTTAAGTTCTAGAAGTTATTAATTGTAGTCAAACTTACTGATTTTAGTTTATGAATTTTGCTTCTGATATCTTGCTTATTAGTTAAATATTCACCTGCAACTTATTTTAGAAGTTTTTATGGTCTCATTTTTTTCTATTTAAATATCCATATCTTTTGAGAATAGGATGACGTAGTGACCTATGTGTTTCCTCCAAATGATTATTCATAGTACTTAGCTTTATTTACACTGAAGCCAGAATATTCAGAAGTGTAGAGTATATTCTGATAATTGTAAAGATTTTAGTTCTCATAAGTTTAGTTCACAGATCTTTTTGTTTTTCCTAAAAGCAATCTCATAATTTCCTTTTTTTTTTTTTTTGGAAGTCTTCAAAAATGTGACATAACGCATTGTTTCTCTTTTCTGTTCTCAAACTTAAGCAGTGATGGCAGTAGCACTTTTTGAATATTAGTTGTGTATTGTTAGTCACTTGACCGACAAATAATTAGATGTAAGCTACTTTTTCAATAGTATCGATATATTGAATTTATGCTTCATGAATTATGAATTATGTTTATGAATTCTCGGTATTCATGGATTATCAGGATGACCTTCTGTGATTACAGGCGTAGTGTTGCAGGGGAATCCCTTTTACCCATTTAAAACCTTCAATGGCTCCCCCCATATACTTAGGATGAAGTCCAAGTTTCTTTATATGGTTTAAAAGGGTTCTTGTGGTTTTCCTTGGCTTACCACCAGCTTCATAGTTTCTCCTTCCAACTCTTCCATACATCCATATTGAAAGAACTACTTTTATTTTTCCTAAAAAAAAAATAATAATAATAACATGCTTTTTCATATCCAAGAAAAAAGAGACTGGGTCACCCAGTTATATCCTTCTGTTAATTTTTTTTTTTTTTTTGCTTTTTCATCATAACAATCATTTGTAACTATTATATCATTATAGTGTAATGTTTATTTCCCCATTGAATTCTAAGCCATTTATGGACAGGGACCACATCCCATTGTACATGGGACCAACACCCAATATATGCCTGGCATACTAGGCACTTGACAAATATGTTTTGAGTCAAAGAAAGAGTTGACTGGATAGATGGATAGTTAGGGTGATGACCTACATATTCTAATGCTTTAACTAGACTAACCATATGAAGTAATGTACAGTGTCACCTAAGGCTCTCATGTCACAAGAGAAAAATTCTTCTTAGCACTGGCTAGTTGTACTTCTTTGTTAAGTAGACCTCCTTTTTCTCTTTTCCTTGAATGAAGCCTATTGGCTCATGTTTTTAAAAACACAATTTTCTTGGCCAATAACTAAATTTCTAGCACAGTAATCTAGTGGGTCAAAGAAGATAGAGAACTATACTGTGTGTTGGAATGATTGATCCTCATGGGAGGTGGTATTTATAATAAAAAATATATATAGGTGAAAGTTAATATTTCAGTATTTTCCAAAAAATAGAAAGGATCTATGCTAACTAAATGTAGCTGTTAACAACCAACATATAAGCATGTCAAAATAATGTCCTTTTATTAATAGAAACTTTGAACTCAGGATATTTTGTATAGCAATCAAATAACTTGCCTCTTTAAGTGAACATTTAGCAGAGTCTCCAAATTATGGAAGTTTGCTATTTAATTACCTAGTCTATATGTGTATATTGTATATTAAGAGCATGGCTCTTATATTAAGAGTTTGATCTAGGTTTGAGCCTCAGTCTGACAACTCCTAGCTGCCTGATTATGGGGCAGTAGTTTCCCCTTTCAGTCTTAGTTTGTTGTATAAAATCAAAACAATACAGTCCTACATTATGAAGCTGTTGCAGAGATTAAAGAAGATAATGTATACAATATGTGGAATTTAGTGTTGCCTGGCAAATGATAGTGCTTAATGAGTGTTAGCTGTTATTATTTCAATGTTAATTAGACCAAAATGCTTTTAAAAACAGATTTATTGAGATATAATTTTAATACCACATAATTCACTCATTTAAAGTGTACAATTCAAAAAATAATAAAGTATACAATTCACTGGTTTTTAGTATATTAGCCATTGTGCACCCATCACCACAGTTTTCTTTTTTTCACAATCAGTTTTAGAACATTTTCTTCACTCTAAAAAGAGAGTCCAACCCTTTTAGCTATCACCCCCCAAACTCTCCTTTCCTCAGCCCCAGGCAACCAATAATCTACTTTCTGTCTCTATAGATTTAGTTATTCTGGGCGTGTGATATAAATGTAATTATGCCATATGTCATCTTTTGTGACTGGCTTCTTTAACATTGTGTTTACAAACTTCATTTATGTTGTAGCATATATAAGTACTTCATTCCTTTCTATGCCTGAATAATATTCCACTGTATAGATGTACCACATTTTGTGTAATCATTCACCAAAGGAACATTTGGGTTGTTTTCACCTCTGGCTACTATGAATTATACTGCTACCAATATCCATGCACAAGTTTCTGTGTGAACATATGGCTTTATGTTTTGGGCTTATACCAAGGAGTAGAATTTCTGGATCAAATGGTAACCTGATGTTTATGTTTTTGATGAACTGTCAGTCTGTTTCCCAATGGCTTCACCATTCTGCAATCCCACCAGCAGGGTTGGGGGTTCCAATTTCTCCACATCCTTGCCAATAATTATTTAACCTTTTAACGCTAGTCATCAGAGTGGGTATAAAATGGTAGATTCCTGCGATTTTAATTTTTATTTATCTAAGGAATAATTGGAATATCTTTTCATGTGTTAGTGGTCACTTGTAGATCTTTGGAGAATTGTCTGTTCAGATTCCTTACCCGTTTTTCTTTTGGGTTATTTATATTTTTATCACGAAGTTGTAAATCCAAGATGCTTTCTAATATTAATTTGTATGGCAACCAACCAAGATGTTTTAAAAATAAGTTAATATCAAACCTTATTTTTCTACAGGTACTAAAAACTTATCCCCCAAAATTTTGTAAATGAGAGAGAAGGCTGACTGGGATATCAAAAGCAAAACGTTTGCAAATATTGGTCATCATGCGTAAAGGGGTGCCAAAGGACCCGGAGATTGCTGATCTCTTCTACAAAGATGATCCTGAAGAACTCTTTATTGACTTGCATGAAATTGGACATGGAAGTTTTGGAGCAGTTTATTTTGTAAGTAATTTTAGAATTGTTTAGAGAGATTAAATTAGGGAAGTTTGACTTCTACACATTCTTTTACTTGTAAAATGTACTCCGTTTTAATGTTGATTCTACAAATTAAATATCTACAGTGGAGGCAAATAGTCATTGCTGAAAAGCCAGTCCTAGAATCCCAGGCATGATTAAAGTCAGTGGTATCTATATCAACTGATTCTGCTATCAAGGCAGTCCAAAAAATGATATAACCTTGAATTTGAGCCCTATGCATTTCCTCTATATGCCAGGCTCTTTTCTGCCTCATGGCCTTCATATATGCTATCCCACCACCTAGAAAACACTGCACATCTTGCTAATCCTACAGATTTCAGTTTAAGTCAGCTTATAGCCACAAGATTGCCTTTCCCATTCTTCCCCTGTACTTACATGTTGTTGCATTTATCATGGTTATAATTAATTCTGTGTAAGAATTTTTGAATCATGTATATCTCTACCCGTACATAAGCACCATGAGGACAGGGGTTATATCTATCGTATTCATTGCTATATGCCCAGTATCCTGTATAATATCTGATAATAGTAGGAACTCAGTAATAGATGGACAGATGGATGGATGAACAGATGGCTACACCGACAGATGGACTAACAAAGATTTTTAGTAACATTTCATATCAAGTCAGTATTTTAGGTTAAAGAGCACAAGGCTTAGCCCCCTTAAGTCAGTTTGAATTCCCAGAATGTGATTATCCTCTGATGAGAAGAATGAGAAGTGACTGAAATGGTACCTTAGCTCATCACCTGAAATTCATTACAGAAAATTTAGTTGGTAATTTATTTATTTAACCTTAGGAGTTTGCCTCCTCAAAGTCACAAATACTTCCTTAAGAGACCTAATCCATAAAAGCAAGTAATATTTAAGTACTACTTATTACCTGTTTCTCCTCTAAACCTGTTACTGATTTTTTTTTTTTTTTTTTTTTTTTACTATATTTGACTTTTAGATGTTTTGGCATCTGGGTAGGGCTTATCTTCAGTTGTCCTTCTAAGTGAGATTTTATTAATTGCATTTTTAGCTCATCTTTTTGTTTCTGACCAAATCTTCAGCCTGGGTTTTCCCTGAACTCTTTCTCATCCCTTCATGCCTGTGCTCAGCACTACTACCATTTCTCATTTACCCCCATCTAAAACTTGGCTTCCACTCAAGTACATTTATCATTGAGTGACCTTCCATGGCTGAAGAGGGTGCTAATTTTCAAGTCAACACTCTTATGTTAGTCTTTAGGCTTAGAATAGTATTTAAGGCTCAAAGTCCTGTCTTCCTCATTCACAGGGATGCTTTTTTTTTTAAGTTTGTTTGTTTTAAGTAATCTCTACCCTTTTTTTTTCTTAAATAGTTTATTGTCAAGTTGGTTTCCATATAACACCCAGTGTTCATCCCCACAAGTGCCCTCCCTCCTCCATGCCCATCACCTCCCTTCCCCTCTCCGCCACCCCCATCAGCCCTCAGTTTATTCTCAGCATTCAAGAGTCTCTCATGGTTTGCCTCCCTCCCTCTCCCCCACTATTTTTCCCCTTCTTCTTCCCCATGGTCCTCCATTCAGTTCCTCCTAATCCACCTATACGTGCAAGCATATGGTATCTGTCCTTCTCTGCCTGACTTGTTTCGCTCAGCATAACACCCTCAAGGTCCATCCATGTTGCTACACATGGCCAGATTTCATTCTTTCTCATTGCGATGTAGTATTCCATTGTATAGATAAACCACAGCTTCTTGATCCATTCGTCCGTTGATGGACACTTAGGCTCTTTCCATGTTTCGCTGTTGTTGAGAGTGCTGCTATGAACATTGGGGTACATGTGCTCCTATGCATCAGCATTTCTGTATCCCTTGGGTAAATTCCTAGCAGTGCTATTGCTGGGTCATAGGGGAGTTCTAGTGTTAATTTTTTGAGGAACCTCCACACTGTTGTCCAAAGGGGCTGTACCAGTTTACATTCTCACCAACAGTGAGAGAGGTGCCCGTTTCTCCACATCCTCACCAGCATCTACAGAGTCCTTATTTGTTCATTTTAGCCACTCTGACTGGCATGAGGTAGTATCTCAGTGTGGTTTTGAAGTAATCTCTACTCTTAATGTGGGGCTCACTCATGACCCCAACCTTAAGAGTCACATGCTCCGCCAACTGAGCCAGCCATGCACCCTAGGATGCTTTTTTTTTTTTTAAAGGATTCTTAAATTACAAGTATACATACAGAAGTGTGCATAGTTGCCCATATATCTTAATATATAATTTAAAGAATAATTAAAGGATAAATCCTTTATAAACACCAGCCAGGCCAAGAAATAGAATATTTCCATCACTCTGGAGGCCCCACTCATGTTAGGAGAGTCCACTATTTTGAATTATTTTCTAGTTTATCTTTTTTTTTTTTAATATTTTTAACATTGATGTAATTTTTGAGAGACATAGTATAAGCAGGGAAGGGGCAGAGAGAGAGGGAGTCACAGATTCTGAAGCAGTCTCCAGGCTCTGAGCTGTCAGCACAGAGCCGAACATGGGGCTCGAACCCATGGACCACGAGATCATGACCTGAGCCAAAGTCAGACACTTAACCGACTGAGCCACCCAGGTGCCCCCCTCCTTTTTTTTTTCTTAAAGCAGGCTCCACGGCCAGTGTGGAGCCCAGTACAGGGCTTGAACTCACAATCTTGAGATCAAGACATGAGCTGATACCAAGAGCCACCCAGGCGCCCCTCTAGTTTTTCTTTCTATGTAACCCACTTACCCCTCCACCCTAACAGTATAATCTGGTTTTGAACTGTTTAGAAATGGAAACTTTCTGTATATGTTTGTGGCCTGTTTGTTCTGCTCCAAGACACTTTCCTCAGCTACTTTTTCTTACTTTCTATTTATAACTCCTTCATCCTCTCAGAGCCTCTCTTGGCCAGAGTCAGAGGGTAGTTCCGGTCTCTACTTGACTCTTATAGTTTAAAAAGCAGCTAAACTCCTCTCAAAGTTCTCTTTTAGAATAACTATAATAACCCAACCATGTTTTGAAACTTACTAACAAGCCTTTGGACTCAGGATAAATGAGACCTACTTTATAGTTGGCTGCAGAAGACCTAGTCATGTATTTGCTGTTTGAGCTAAGTCCTGTCTCTTTAGCCAGCGTGTATGCCTTTTGAAAATGAGGACTGCTTCTACTATTCCTTTACAACTCTAACGGCTAGCCAATGCACGTTTACAGTAGGCACTAAATATATGTTATTTGTTGATATGATAGGCAAGAGGAATCATAAAGATATCTGGGTGGCTTTGAAAATGTAATCATTAACTATATTGTGTATTGTATTGCCTGATACAAAAGTGAGTAGTACAGGCCCATATAAACTCGTAAGGCACTAAAAAACAGATTAAAGAGGAATTAACTTGTACTTTACTGTAAAACTTAGAAAACCTTTAACCTTTTATCTATAATGATCATATGGTAATACCTTAAAAAATGGATCTCTCACTGCCCACAATAATGTTTTTGTGTAGCTCCTTCCTCACTATTAATAGATTCTTCCTCTTGTCACTCAAACAGGGATAACCAAGAAGACTGTCATCTCTTCTTTGGACAACTGCAGTGGTGTCCTAACCCATCTCTGTGCATCCATTCTGATCTCTCTTTAGGCTGTTGTCCACACTATAGTGAGCTTAGGGGGGGAAAGAAGTAAATCCGATTGCATCATCTTTTTTTTTCTTTAATTTTTAATTTTTTTTTTTTAAGGAGAGAGAGACAGAGAGAAACAGAGAGTAGGAGGGAATAAGGGTCAGAGAGAGAGAGGGAGACACAGACTCTGAAGCAGGCTCCAGGCTCTGAGCTGTCCGCACAGAGCCTCAGGTGGGGCTCGAACTCACCAACCACAAGATCATGACCTGAGCAGAAGTCGTATGCTTAACTGACCGAGCCACCCAGGTGCCCCACATCATCTTTTTCTGTAAAGCCTTCAGGGGCTCTCCCTTCTTAGGCTGAGATCAAAACCTTACTGTAGCCAGCCTACAAGGTCTTCCAGGATGTGGTCCCTGTCTGTACTTGAGCCATATTCCTTCTCATTCTCCTTGCCCGAGCTGTAATATACTAGCTTTCTTTTGACCGTTGTCATAGGATCTTTGCATGAAGTGTTCTCCCTGGAATGTTTCCCCTTCCCCTTCCCCTTCTTAACTCCTGTTCCTCTTTTAGCTCTCAGCTGAAACCTCACTTCCTCAGGGAAGCCTTGCCTCACCTGCCTAAGGCGCACCCTCCCACTTTTGTTTCTCGGAGTAACACCCTTCTTCCGAGCAACTGTCACAGTTACAATTTTACATGTGTGTGTTATGACATTTTTGTTACTGTCTGTGGTACTACACATACTGAGCATATCTACTCACTTCCTTAGCCCAATACCTGACAATTTTTGAATACCTATTAAGTATTAGTTGAATGGACAAATGAGTTATAAAGAACTCAGAGAAGTTGGTTCTGCTGATTAGTACTTTTCATTAATCCTAGCCATGCTAGCCAGCCGTTAAGACCTGATTCTGGCAACCAACGTTTTTATACCTAAACACTATAATTCTGTTAGACTTTTTGTAGTTTACAGCTTTTACACAGAATGATGGCAAGAAATACGCTTAAAGTGGATTATAAGTTGGCACAGCTCTCTCTCATTGAATCATTCAGCTGAGAGCATTTTCAGGATAAAAGTGGAAGCTTTTCATCTGGTAAAATATCTGTTTGGATTTACATAAGTAATTTAGAAATTAGCAGCATTAACAAATAAGGCAGTAAGAAATTCTATATTAGGGGCACCTGGGTGGCTCAGTCAGTTAAGCGTCTGACGTCAACTCGGGTCATGATCTCACAGATCGTGGGTTCAAGCCCCGCATCAGGTTCTGTGCTGACAGCTAGCTCAGAGCCTGGAGCCTGCTTCAGATTCTGTGTCTCCCTCTCTCTCTGACTCTCTCCTGCTCATGCTACCTCTCTCTCTCTAAGGAATAAATGAAACATTAAAAAATTTTTTAAATAAAAAAATGAAAAATAAAAGACATTATTTTTGTTTAATTTTTTAAAATGTTTTATTTATTTTTGAGAGAGAGATAGAGACAGTATGAGCAGGGGAGGGTCAAAGACAGAGGGAGTCACAGACTCCGAAGACAGGCTCCAGGCTCTGACCTAGCTGTCAGCACAGAGCCCAACACGGGGCTCGAACCCACGAACCGTGAGAACATGACCTGAGCCGAAGTCGGATGCTTAACCGACTGAGCCACCCAGGCGCCCCAAGACATTCTATATTAAAGGAAAATAGAAACAGGCTAAGCATAATTATTTTTGTATTCACTTAAACACAACTATGAAGCTTCTACATTTCCGGTGTTGCCCTGTTGAACTTAACATATCTTCCATAATCCACCTAAAGCTAATAATTAAGTTCTGTTCTTCTGGTTATGCTTATTACCTTTCAGTTTTAGTTAAGACTTCATAACTAAGGCAAAAAGGAAAGCTTATTTTTACTGTTTTATTTCTCTATAAATTAGCAACAAGTGGACAGTAATCTAAATGTAGCTGGAAATGGTTAAGAAAATCACAATACTCTATTAAATATTTTTTAAATCAACAATCTTGCTTAAACTCCCTGAGATCATTGAGACTATTGGAAGTATTAAATATGAATATAATTTTTGAGAATAACACTTGAAATAAATGTTTTAAAAAAGGAGGCACTTGGGTGGCTCAGTCTGTTAAGCATCCAACTCTTGATTTCAGCTCAGGTCATGATCTCACAGTTCATGGGATGGAGCCCCTCGTTGGGCTCTGTACTCATAGCACGGAGCCTGCTTGGGATTCTGTGTGTCTCTTTCTCTCTCTCTCTCTTTCAAATCAAATAAATAAATACACATTTAAATTCTTTTTAAAAAAGAATAACACTTGAAATGTATAGGGGTGGTAATCATTCATATTATATGAAGTACTGGAAAGCTGAGACCCCCACCAATAGTTTCCTTTCTCTGTACTAAAACGTTGACCATTTTTTTGAAGTTTCAGCTGTGAATTTTAACCAGTATAAAATTGCATTAAACATTTCACATCTAAACAGGCTCTTAACAGTAGAGAACAAACTGATGGTTTCCAGAGCGGAGGGGAGTCGGAGGATGGGGGAAATAGGTGACAGGGATTAAGGAGTGCACTTGTCTTGGTGAGCACTGGGTGACCTATGGACTTGATGAGTCACTAAATTGTACATCTGAAACTCATGTTACACTCTATGTTTAACTGGAGTTTAAATAAAAACTAAAAAATAAATTTCACATCTAAGAAAAATCAACATGGAAATGTTTTTCAAATTTCAAGTCTGTGCTCCAGTAGATAGACTGTGTAAGTAAGTATACATACGAAGTTCTAACTAATGATTACTTTGTAAATGTAAAGAAATGTATCTTTATTCTAGGGTGATTTCCTTTTTCAAGTCTCCGGTTCCAAATAAGCATTGATTACAGAAAAAAAAAAAACTTAATAAGCAATTGGATAATACCATCTGATTCCATTTGTGTCCTTTTTTTTCCCTTTTATAAAGGTTAGGGATTTGGGGTTTTTTTTTTAACCCTTTAAGTTAAAATTCCTCTTTGGTTGAGCATTTATTAAGCCTTTCTCAGGCTGCTCAAGCTGCACAGTAGATAGATTCATCCCCAAAATATCTGCTTTTCCGATACAATCACTCTAACCTTTATTGAAATACTGAATTCACATCAACTTTTCTTTGTTGCTGCCATATAAGCAGTCTTAGTGTTAAAATCTAAAAGCCAGCAAAATGTGAGATTTTTGTTTTTAACAAAAGTCCATCTATACCTTATAAATGAACAAAATATCTAAAAAATACCTTTGTAGAGGCCTGCTGATTTGAAAACTCTAATAGATACCTTGTTTTTATAACAGGTACTTTTACTTTCAGTGCTTGTAAAAATGTTTTTTTCAATAAGTATTCATTTTCTCAGCAGTTTGTCATTCAGTAAGACTCTGGGACTGAATTCTTTTTACATAAATAAGTTATTGTTTATTTTTTAATTTAAAATTTTTTGAAATAGAAAGGAATTCATAGTTTTATTTGAGGAGCTTCTTTAAGTGTATTTAAGAAAGTGATTATGCATTTTTGTCTAAAACTGATGACCTGATTTTATCAGGGAGTGAATTTCTAATCTCTTACCTCAGAACCACCACTATACCTTTATTGGTTTATAATAATATCATAGAACCAAAATAGCTTACTTACATCAGGAGTGTGGCACTAATATAGAGCCCTGTTATTAAAAGAAGGCCAAATTAGATAATCTTTTAATGTCTTACATTTATTTTTCTGAACATTTTAAGAAAATTTTCTATTTTAAATCTCTTAAGTAGGAGGGAGTCTATTACTTGCGTTGTTATTTTCGTGTGTGGTTTCAGTGAACTATTGTATTTTGGGAAAGAAAAGATATATAGAGATATTATGAGCCAAGACAATCTTTATAGATGAATGCACACACATATATGTATGTATATACGTAATACATTCTCATTATAAAATATATGTACCTTTGGAAGTGAAAGTCCCATTTAAGATTAATCTTACCTTCTGCTGCATTGTTCAGGTAAGTAGACTATTTAGATTTAAATTAATTAAAATTTAAACTCCCATTTCCTCAGTCACTGTAGCCACATTTCACATGCCAGTGTATATATAATATAGATATAAAACATTTCCATCATGACAGAAAGTTCTATCAGACAGCACTCCTCCAGGAATTATCACTGATATATATTCTGGTATATATTCTTCATATTTTTTCTGCACATACATCACATAATTACTCTTTTGCAAAAGTAAGATAATATACAGCTTGTTTTTTGTCATATTTTTTACAACTTTCTGAATTACTGTATATTCATATAGGTTACCTCATTCTTTTAATGTTTACCTTATTATATGACTGTACCACATTTATTTACTGATTCTCCATTGATGGACATTTCACATGGTGAAGCCAGTATGGACATTTTGGAAATTGAACTTGTTTTTGTTTGATTGGATACATTTGGTTAAACTCTAATCTTTTTATATATTATAGTCTTTGCATGTATATAAAAAGGGATAAAGAAAAGTTGTACCTTACGGTGGGGTGGAAATGTCTATTTAACCTATCAAAAGTTACGGCATCTTTAAATTATAGTAATGAAGTCAGTCAAATGAATATTTATTCTTTTTATTTTTATTTTTTTTCTTCTACCCTCTCAACACAGGCCACAAATGCTCACACCAATGAGGTGGTGGCAGTTAAGAAAATGTCCTATAGTGGGAAGCAGACACATGAGGTATGTTGAAGACAGTTGTATACCTAACCTGACATAAACCCGTTAGTGTGAGATTGACAGTAGAAACAAAGTTCTTTAAATGTTACTTTATCATAACTTCTTTATTCCTTTTTATAGAGCATATAATAAATATTATTAATATTCAACTCAATCAACTAATTTGTGGAATAGAATATAAGTTAGTATATACCTTTATTATATTCGACAATAGATTTCCATTTATAGGTACTAAAATTAAATAACACAAGTTTAAGCAGCATCTTCATTTATTAAACATTTACTTTGTCTATTTAAAATAACAAAAAGAATATTATATATGTATAGTTGATAATAAAATACTATTTCCGGTCTAAAATTGTACCATTTTCTTTATTACTTCAATAGAAATGGCAAGATATTCTTAAGGAAGTCAAATTTTTACGACAATTAAAGCATCCTAATACCATTGAGTATAAAGGTTGTTACTTGAAAGAGCACACTGCTTGGGTAAGTTAAGGGACCTGTATTATAATTTACTTCCCATTAAATTTTTTCTATTTTTCTATTATCTCTTTGATCTATAAAATTATCAGTCCCATCTCTATCCCATTTGACTTTTGTTACCAGTATTCAACATGTGTTAATACCTCAGAGTGTGCTGTATGGTATACATTCTATAAGATCAATATGATGCCTAGTCTATGGGAGATTTTATTCTAAAAACAATCAACAAACAGGTTGTGAAATTTTAATATCATTTTATAATGGCTTATTTGCAAAAGTAAAAGATCCTTTTATTCTCATCCTAGAATTTTTATCTTTTTATTTCTCATCCCCCACTTCATTTCCTCCCAAATTTGGAATCGTATTACAATCACTGTCTAAGTTTTATCAAACAGGGCCTAGCATGTGATTAAAATGAAATAGCCTTTTGTTCCACTCTGTCTCTTTAGTATATTTTTGCACCATCATGTTTCTGTTTTTAGGTTAGCACTTGAGGCACTGTTTAGTCCATGAAGAAGCTACACTTTGTGCTTTAGCAGACTGCACATTCCAATTTAAAGTCCAACCTAACATTTACTGAGATTGATTTGTTGAGAAGTTACCATGTATAAGTGCTTTCCTATACATGCTCTCCAGTTAAGAAATGGAATTTTTGTTCCCAGATAGACTAGCCAATAATTAACATTTCTTTTCAAGCAGCTTTTAAGATACCTAGAGCCATTGCTTCTGTTCTGAGCCAAAGAAATTAATCAGAGGAGTATCTCATTATCTGGAAATCAGTTCTCTGGCAATCTCAGCCATCTTGAAGGAGTCAAGAAAGGGATTTTAAACATGCAGAATAAATGTTACAACATGAAGTGATAAATCTCATGTGTTTCGAGTCTTCAGAAAATCCTCTGAGCTCTTATTTAAAGCCTATTTACTCTTAGATTACATAGAGTGCTAATAAGCTTGGTTAACTGTTCCTGTCTACGGTGGATTTGACAGGCAAAATTGAAGGAGCTCATAGGAACCAAAGTGCTGGAGACATGCATACAAACACAGACAAGAGTAATTTGACCAGACAGAAGGAATCAAGGAAGTTAGAAAGCAGACCTACTCGTTTAAAAGTAGAGAAGCAACTAGAGCTGTTTAATGTCAGGAGCAAACAACCAGCCACAGTTCAGATGTCCTTGTGTTATGGAATAATAGGGTAAAGGATATACATGACAAAAATACAGAGTTAACATATAATTTTAAAAATATAACTGTAACTGTAAATATATTCTCTCCATTTGGTTTTAAAGTTCTATGTTAATATTCTACATACTCAGTTACAGGAAGTTATATGTGCATATTAATTTACTTAGCTTAAGAAACAGGGGTTCCTGGGTGGCTCAGTTGGTTGTACATCCAACTTTGGCTCAGGTCATAATGTCACAGCTTGTGAGTTCCAGCCCCACATCAGGCTCTGTGCTGACAGCTTAGAGCCTAGAGCCTGCTTCAGATTCTATGTCCCTCTCTCACTCTACACCTTTCTCACTCTGCCCCTCCCTCGCTCATCCTCTGCCTTTGTCTCTCTCAAGAATAAATTAAACATTAAAAAAAAGAAAAAAAAAAAAGAAATGTTTTCATTGGGGTACCTGGGTGGCTCAGTCATTTAAGCATCAGACTCTTGGTTTTGGCTCAGGTCATGATCTCACAGTTTGTGAGATCGAGCCCCACATCAGGCTCTGTGCTAACGCGAGCCTGCTTGGGATTCTCTCTTTCCCATCTGTCTCTCTGCCCTTCCCCTACTCACTGTCCCTCTCAGAATCAATAAATAAATATATTTTTTTAAAGTCCATCAGAATTGGTTAAAGAAAAAAAGTGTTTGTTAACTATACCTCAGTAAAGTGGAAAAAAATAATGCACATAAAAGGCTAATGTTCATTATAGTATTCACTTAATATGGAATATTTCATTTCACAATAAGAAATAAAATAATGCCTCACACCAATCAGAATGCCTAATCTCAGAAAGACCAGAAATCACACTGTTGGCAAGGACATGGAGAAAAGGGAACCCTTTTGTATGGTTACTGGTAATGTAAATTGGTGCCACCACTGTGTAAAACTGTATGAAACTTCCTCAAAAAATATAAATGCCATACAATCTAGTAATTCCACTACTTGGTATTTACCTGAAGAAACCAAAAAGGCACATTTGAAAAGATAAATGTACCTCTGTGTTTATTGCAGCATATTTATAACAGTCAAGACATGGAAGCAAAGTGAATGTTCATCAGTAGATGAATGGATAAAGATGTGGTATACATATACAATGTGATATTACTCAGCCATAAAAAAGAATGAAATTTTGCCATTTGCAACAACATGGATAGTCCTAGAGGGTATTATGCTAAGTGAAATAAGTTGGACAGAGAAAGACAAATACTTTATGATTTCACTTATATATGGAATCGAAAACAAAACAAAACAAACAAAAAAAGCAGAAACAGACCCATAAACACAGAGATGAAACTGTTAGTTGCCAGACTGGAGAGGGGTTGGGGGGATGGGTGAAATAGGTCAAGGGGATTAAGAGGTATGAACTTCTGGGGTTCCTGGGTGGCTCTCTGTTAAACATCCAACTTCGACTCAGGTCATGATCTCACAGTTCGTGGGTTTGAGCCCTGCACTGGGCTCTGTGCTGACAGCTCAGAGCCTGGAGCCTGCTTCAGATTCCATGTCTCCCTCTCTGTCTCTCTGCCCCTCCCCAATCACACTCGCTCTCTCTCAAAAATAAAAATAAACAAAAAAATAAAGTAAATAAATAAAAATAAACATAAAAAAAAGAGATGCAGACTTCCAGTTGTAAAATAATGGAGATTAAAAAGTACAGCATAGGGGCGCCTGGGTGGCTTAGTCGGTTGAGCATCCGACTTTCGGTTAGGTCATGATCTCACAGTTCGTGGGTTCGAGCCCCGCGTCGGGCTCTGTGCTGACTGCCAGCTCAGAGCCTGGAGCCTATTTCGGAGTCTGTGTCTCCCTCTCTCTCTGACCCTCCCCTGCTCACGCTCTCTCTCTCTCTCTCTCCTAGAAATAAATAAAAATATTTAAAAAAATAAAATTAAATAAATAAATAAAAAGTACAGCATAGATAATATTATAATTTCATGTGGCGACAGATGGTAACTACATTTAGGGTGGTGAGCATTTCATAATGTATATAATTGTCAAGTCACCATGAAGTATACCTGAAACCAATACAATAGTGTACATCAACTATACTTCTTTTAAAAGTAAATAAAATTAGTGTTTCTGAATCTGCTTATTTTAATGTCAAGTAGAAAACTATAATAAAATTTCAGAACTTTAAACTCCTACATTTCTCATGTTAGAAACTATTCTGGAATAATAATGGAATAATTTTAACGTATTATATATAGTTATATATTTAATTACATATAGGTATATAAAAAATTTAATAGTTTAGGCATAAATATATCTGTTATACATAATAATATGTGATGTGTAATATATGATATGTATTATATACCTGGCATTACTGGAATTATATATAATATATGATTATTACATACTATAATAATATATACTATTATGATTATAACATTAAGTATCATGTCTTATATAATTTTATCTCATATTCTTCTAAATTATGTACAGAGCACACCACACATAATTATGTTTTTACATTAATTTTTTTTTAATTTTTTTTTAATGTTTTATTTATTTCTAGGGGAGAGAGAGAGAGACAGCGTGAGCAGGGGAGGGTCAGAGACAAAGGGAGTCACAGACTGAAACAGGCTCCAGGCTCCGAGCTGGCAGTCAGCACAGAGCCCGATGCGGGGCTCGAACCCACGAACCGCAAGATCATGACCTAAGCGAAAGTCGGACGCTTAACCAACTAAGCCACCCAGGCGCCCCTACATTAATTTTTTTAATGAAAGGAGCTAATATGTTAATAGTGCTTATGTGTAGGTGATGATAGGAAATTTGTATTTCAGAAGGAACACATGGTGTTTTTTAGAATAAGAAAATAATTTGCAGGAGTGTGTGTGTGTGTGTGTGTATAGAGGTTGGTCACTGACCATTATAGGTGTGACTTTGTTTATAAATCAGTAGCCTGGGACATCTAAAAAAAAATCTAGGATGAGAATAAAAGAATTTTTTCCTTTTAAAAAGCCTCCCAAGATTGCAAACCCAATAAGTATCAGTAATATTTTAATAATATTGTTCTAGAAATGCTTTAAGAGAGGAGTGCCTGAGTGGCTCAGTCGGTTAAGCATCCGACTTCGGCTCAGGTTATCATCTCACAGTTTGTGGGTTCGAGCCTGGAGCCTGCTTCGGATTCTGTGTCTCCCTCTCTCTCTGCCCCTCCCCTGCTCACACTCTGTCTATCTGTCTCTTTCTCAAAAATAAACGTAAAACATTTTTTTAAAAAAAGAAATAGTTCAAGATAAAAATTTAAATATCCCATCGCAGAGATGCAAGATAAGGTAATGATACATATCAGGCTACATCTTTAGATTGAGTTCTAAACAATATTTTCTTGTTTAGAACTGTTTTAAATGTAAAAATAAGGAATTTACTACTTACTGGTTTATTGTATTTAATTAGTATTTCCCAGTATAGGTTATACTGGCTCATATATTTGGTTGCCACTTTCCAAGTTACAAGTTTTAACTTATAGTGCAACCTAGCTACCTTAAGTCATTTTGAAACAAGGTAGTGTGGAAACTGGTAACTAAGTGGCAATCTTAGCTTGACCATTTCATGTCCAGTATACTTACAGTCTTAGAACATTCCACTTCGAAGAGGAAATAACAAAACCATATGATAAAAGTTGTAAAAATAAGTTAGTGTCAGATGACCAAAATTTAATCCAGGTTCACGTAGGTCAGAGTACTTATTCTCCTAGTAGTCTTAGTTTCATGGTTACTTGAATTTAGCAGTTTCTTATTAACTGTAATTATTCTGGTTATTATTTTAATCTATTACAGTTGGTGATGGAATATTGCTTAGGCTCAGCTTCTGATTTGTTAGAAGGTAAGAATAAAAGTACTATCCCCTCCTTTCTGTTTTGCCTTGACAAGAATATTATCTACTCATATATTAAAGAACAGTTTGGGGGTGCCCGGGTGGCTCAGTTGGCCAAGCGTCCAACTCTTGATTTCTGCTCAGGTCATGATCTCAGGGTTCATGGGGTTGAGCCCTGTATTGGGCTCTGTGCTGATAGAGTGGAGCCAGCTTGGGATATTCTCTCCCTCTTTTCTCTTTCTTTCTTTTTTCTTTCTTTCTTTCTTTCTCTCTTTCTTTCTTTCTCTCTTTCTTTCTCTCTCTCTCTCTCTCTCTCTCTCTTTCTCTCTCTCTCTCTCCCCCCCCACCTTTCTGCCCCTCTCCTGCTCATTCTCTCTCTTGCTTGCTCTCAAAATAAATAAATAAACGATAAAAAAAGTGCAGTTTGGGCAAAGCAAATGGATGATGACTTAGACTTAAGGATTGTATGGATAAGCTGTGCAAACTTTATCTCCACAGTAGCTGATAGTATCTCAGGAATGATTAGCAGCAGCCCTCTTACTCTTTAGTTCATGGCCCATCCAGGGCAGGTACTTACTAAAATGTTCAGCTAATGTGATGTAATAAATGTAGCCAAAAGCATCAAATTCATGTGTATGTATGAAAGAGAGGTAAATGGTATCAAATTATACTGATATTTAACTCTTTCAAATATCTTGACCCAGTTCTCTTCTGCAAATGCTATTATAACACAGAGACTATGTTAAAAATTTACATTAAAAAAAACTTTCGTATATTATCCTTGATCTCTGAATAGAAATTGCTTATTAGCTGCTTTCACAAATAATGAAAACCTGTAGTTAGAAGAGGTAATTATAGATGCTCTGTGGAGAGGAGAATAATACAACCCTAGGCATTTAAAATGTCAGAAAGGACTGGTAAATTTGGGCCTGGCCAATTGGAATCAGTGGTGGCTTTGACTTACCAACTGACAAGTCAATTAACAATCCATTACAGTGACTATCAGGCTTTGTTTTATTTTGTTTTAAGCAGTTCATTTGTTTGTTTTTGCACTTGGGTTTCCTGTTATCTGATGACTTATTGTGGTTCTATAGGAAATATATATCCTGTATATTTAGGTGAATGTGTTCCTAAATTGTCATTTGAGAGTATAAGATAATAAGAAGAATGAAACTCATTATTGCTTCTAAATGTTTCTTTCCTCCCTCAGTTCATAAGAAACCACTTCAAGAAGTGGAAATCGCTGCCATTACTCATGGTGCCTTGCAGGGGCTGGCCTACTTGCATTCCCATGCACTGATTCATAGGTAAGATCGGAGACCAGTTACATGTCAGTTACAGGACTACCTATTTAGGAATCTTGAAAATTAGTGCATGCTCCACTTTGTAAGGTGCCTGTGTATTTATAGGAAGCAGAGATTGCTGCTGCTTCCGGATGTGAAAGTAAAGTTGCCACAATTTAGCTTCTATCTCTTGGTCTTTTCCAAATCTACCCAAAGACTTACCTCACCTCTGTTCTACAGGTAACTCTCCTCCAGGCAGGATGTTGTGGGAAAATTTGAGGAAGGGCGCAGCCTTTTGACACTGTGCCAAGAAAAAAAGAAAATTAGCTTTCCTTGCACATATTTATTTCCTACCTGAGTTTCCTTTATTTAGTTATTTGTTTGTTTGTTTGTTTATTGAGAGAGAGTGAGGGAGAGAGAGGAGCAGAGAGAAGGGGTAAGAGAGAGAGAATCCCAAGCAGCCTCTTCACTCCCAGTGCCCCAGTGCAGGACTCGAACAAACAGTTCGACTGTGCACGAACTGTGAGATCATGACCTGAACCGAAACCAAGAGTCAGATGCTTAACCCAGCAAGCCACCTAGGTGCCCCTCCTTTCTCCTTTTCCAATTGCAAATAACAAGCCAATCTTAAATAATTGTGTGCTGTTTCATCACTTTAAAATATCGTGCATTTTGATACTCCATACAGATATATGGGAAGATATTATTGCTTTTACCTTGGCAGAAACTGTATCTCTGAAAGATTTAAATAACTGCCCATAGTTCACAGGTTTTACATAATAAAGGTTGAAGCTCAGATTTCCTAACTCCTAATCCAAGGCTTTCCTCTACCTTGTATTTTCTTTACCACAACGCCACTGCCCTCCCTCCAGTGTACTTCCTACCATTAACTTCTAACTAAAGATGTTCTTAATCTTTCCTTCTCTCAGTAAAGAACTTCTAGTACAGTTACTTTAATGAATGGTGGCAGGAATAATGGAATATGAGGTAGGTATAAAGGATCACAGATGGCTCAAAAGCAAAAGAAAACACTTTGACATTTACTAAGAAGAAATGAAACCATTACATCATAGGTTCCCCTTTTGCCTCTTTTTTAATCACCCTAGAGTAGCTGCTACCAGTTACTGGTGCCACAAAAGCAGAACTTCTCAAGATAGGCAGACCAAAATCCCTGCAATGGATTTGGCTTACTTTTAGAAGCAAAGAATGAACCTAACCACACCTAATAAACGTTGATAAAATAGATTAAGCCATCATATCCATGGATTTGACCCCAAAAAATGTTTTTAATATATATCTTTGGTACCAAAATGTCATTACCAAATGCCATCTTGTCTATATATGATATCACCGTTTCCTGTTTAAAGCCATGGTTCTTTTTTTGTGTGTGTGCCTCTGTTACCAAAATCTGCACATTATTTTAATGTTTTATTTTATATTATACTTTATCTTATTTAATATATAAAAGAAGTTGAAAAAACAAAAAATCCTTTTAAAATATGCTTCCTATTTGAATACCATGTCTCAGATTTTTATTATTTTGATTTAAAAGACAAGTCAGGGGCACCTGGGAGGCTCAGTCAGTTAAGCCTCCAACTTCAGCTCAGATCATGATCTTACAGTTCATGAGTTCAAGCCCCGTGTCAGCCTCTGTGCTGACAGCTGGGGGAGCCTGCTTCAGATTCTGTATCTCCCTCTCTCTCTGCCCCTCCCTCACTCATGCTCTGTCTCTTATCTCTCAAAAATAAATAAATTTTAAAAGGCAAGTTCTAATTGAATGTAATAGAGAAAAGATATCTTTTTGCTGTTAGGGAAATATATAATGCTTTTTTAGTTCACTCTGCCAATGTCTAATGTCATCATGAGTAAAGAAACTGAATTTTCAAGAGAAGATTTTTGGAGACATTGTCTTGAAACATTTGAACCTTATCATTTTCAACTTGACATAAGTTTTCCTCATTCTCTCTGCTTTGTCTTTCCACAGCCCATCAATATATAACTGTTGGTTCCTAATACTCATTACACCTCATGCTTTTTTTTGAAGAGAATAGAGAGTACATCCACATGTTTTCATTCTAAATTATCATCCAAAACAATGAATTTTTTAACCATATTTCAAATTTTTTTGCTGCATAAAATATCTAATAACTTTAGTAATAACCACTTGCGATTCTTTGTCATAATACAATAGAAATGCATTTTCCTAATCCCTAATCCTTGTTTGTTTTGATCTTTCAGGGTCTTCTTTTTACTGTACAGTGTTATTTTTAAAATGACACCTTCTATATAACATGTACCCTCAAATGGCTTAGAGTTGCAGTTACAATTAAGGCAGAGAGAAAGGGTCACAGGAAAGAAAGAAAAGGTATGTGTGTAGTTGAGGTTTATTGGTAGGTAGATAATACAGAGTTATTGAAGGTTTGTTTAGACTCTTAAAAGCCTTATGTGATTTGGAAAAGAAAAAAAAAAAGGCAGTTACAAATGGCACCAATTTTCCCAGCATAAGGAATACAGTTGACAACTGGACCAGCATCTGTTAACATGCTTTTTTAAGTGTAGTAATTGAATAGATTTCCTTGTCTGCCATGTCTGCCTTTTCTCTTTGCGTTCTCTCCCTCTAAAGAAAGCTCTATCTTTTAGTAATTACTATGACCTACCTGTTAGTACACCCAGGAACCTGGGCCCCCTTATAGCATGCAGTAATTACTAAATCCCCTTCTGACCATCTGAGCAGGGTTTTTTTTGTTGTTGTTGTTAAATAAACTTTTTGTCTTATTAATTGCATGCTCTGACCTATTCCATAATCAGAGTTGAAAAGCGATTTTCTAACGCTCTTATTTTTTCCTATAGGGATATTAAAGCAGGAAATATTCTTCTAACAGAGCCAGGTCAGGTGAAACTAGCTGATTTTGGATCTGCCTCAATGGCTTCTCCTGCCAACTCCTTTGTGGGTACACCTTACTGGTATGTCGAATTTTAAACCTAGAATTTTAAAACGTGCATACATGAACAAAATGGACTCATGGCATTGGTTTGGTTTGGTTTGGTTTTTCTGACAGTGTCTTACCACGTGCCTCAAATAAGATTTCATTAAAGAAGGATAGAAAACTCACGAGCAAAAAAAAAGAAACACTCTGACTTAGTATACAGTTTCCAATGACTTTAAATTGTTCAAATAAGGTTGATGTCACTGGGTGTAAACTGAGCAGGATTATCAACTCACTGACCAAGCTCAGGTTTTAGATTTCATTTAGGTTTCTTTTGAACTTTTCTCTTGAGGCAGAATCTCCAGACAAGGACAAGGTAACTCTCTTTAACCTCTAACTAGCCAGTAAGCGTAAATATTACCTTTTAATGAAAGAAATCCAGGTTCTTGTTTTTGTTCTGTTTTGTTTTTAATTAATTTATTTAAATTCAACTTAGTTAATATATGGTGTAGTATTGATTTCAGGAGTAGAACCCAGTGATTCACCACTTCCTTACAACACCCAGTGCTCATCCCAACAAGTGCCCTCCTTAATGCCCATCATCCATTTAGCCCATCCCCTCCCCTCCAGCAACCCTCAGTTTTTTCTCTGTGTTTAAAATCTCTTATGGTTTGCTTCTCTCTCTGTTTTTATCTTATTTTTCCTTCTCTTCCCCTTTGTTGATCTGTTTTGTTTCTTAAATTCCACATGAGTGAAATCATATATTTGTCTTTCTCTGACTGACTTATTTCACTTGGCATAATACCCTCTACTTCCATCCATGCTGCTGCAAATATCAAGACTTCATTCTTTTTAATCACCAAGTAATATTCCATTGTGTATGTATATATATGTATGTATGTGTGTATATATATATATGTATATATATATATATATATACACACACACATACACACACACACCGCATATTCTTTATTCGTGAACATTTGGGCTCTTTCCATAATTTGGCCATCGTTGATAGTGCTGATACAAACACTAGGGTGCATGTGCCCCTTTGAATCAGCATTTTTGTATCCTTTGGATAAATTCCTAGCAGTGCTATTGCTGGGTCATAGGGTAATGCTATTTTTAATTTTTTGAGGAACCTCCATACTGTTTTCCAGAGTGGCTGCACTAATTTCCATTCCTACCAACAGTGCTAGAGGGTTCCCCTTTCTCTGCATCCTCACTAATACCTGTTGTTTCCTAATGTTAGCCATTCTGACAGGTGTGAGGTGACATCTCATTGTAGTTTTGATTTGAGGATGTGTGATGTTGAGTGTCTTTCCATGTGTTTGTTAGCCATCTGTTAGCCAAAGAAAGAGGTCTTTGGAAAGAAGACATGTCTTCTGCCCATTTCTATCCAAAATCTCTAAAGAACTTTGTTCAGTTTCCTGATACTTTACCTAGTTTGTCATTCTGACTTTAAATTTCACCCCATCTATTCAAGATTCCTTTCCTTCCTTACACAGATCCATTGAAATGTCATTGTACCTCAGAGAATGACATATCCCTGGATGATTACTTACCTACTAAAAATCAGCTACTATTTGAATTTTTTTTTTCTGTCGATGGTCATCAAGTAGCATTTACTCAGCAGCCACTTACACACACTAACAGAAAACAAAAACATATTAAACTGATAAGACCCCTGCTCTCCCATGAAAATCCATTATGGGCAAGCAGTATCTATTACCGGAGCCTGTTTGTTTATTTTTTAAGTTGTAGCATCTTTGAAATATCTAATTATTTTGTTTTAAATAGTTCCATAAGTATTTTTCAGGTTGTCTGTAGTTATTTAAGTGTTTCATACATATTAATCCTTTACAAATCTTTCTGAGGTAGCTACTAGAATTCTCTCCATGTTACAGGTGGAAAAACTGATATACAGAAAGGTTAAGTAATTTAGCTGAGATAAAACTGATAGTTAATGGTGGAACCAGGATTTGTTGAAAATAATGTGTTGTTTCATGTAAATCATTGAGTATATTGGTTATATTTTGAACAGTGTTTTTCCAAATGATTTGTGTTAGGAAATAATATCCTTATCAGACAAAACTTTAGAATATGCTCAAACAGCTATTTCACTTTATTAGATGAATTTTGTTTTTAATTTGCAATATGAATTTTGCACATTGCATCTGGCAGGATGGCTCCAGAGGTGATCTTAGCCATGGACGAAGGCCAGTATGATGGGAAAGTTGATATTTGGTCACTTGGAATCACCTGTATTGAATTGGGTGAGTAAAAGTTATTTTTATAAAGATTTATTTTTATTATACTTTTGAGAAACACTTGTGATTATGATTGTTAATTCATTCATCCAGCTATGATTTAATAGACAACTGTTATATGTGGGCCTGACAGTGTGAATTTCTTATATTTTTTTCATGCTTTTGTATAATATCAGAAGATTGCTTTCTCTCCGCTACATTTTCTTATTAATATAAAAGAGTTTGAGGGACACCTGGGGAACTCAGTTGGTTAAGCATCTGACTTCGGCTCAGGTCATGATCTAATGGTTCATGAATTCGAGTCCTGGCTCTGTGCTGACAGCTCAGAGGTTGGAGCCTGCTTTGGATTCTGTGCCTCCCTCTCTCTCTCTCTGCCCCTCCCCCACTTACACGTGCACGCCCGCGCATGCACTCTCTCTCTCTCTTTCAAAGATAAACATCAAAATAATTAATTAAAAAAATAAATAAGCTTGAGCAGACACAGCAAATAACTAATGTGGGAATATACAATAGTTAAGTATTAATATTTGAAAAATATCCATTCTCTATATCATGAATGATAATTTATGTCCTTCCTTCCCAGTAGTGATTTACATTCCAACTTGTAAAGAGGAAATCTGAAAAAGTAATAGTAGGCTTATCAAAGATCTGACTGTAAAATCTGTATTTGTATTTGACCCGTTTAAAGAGCCACCTCAGAGAAAGCTTCATGTTAGATAGAAGTTAGAAGCTCAGATGCCCTCAGCTTTAAAGGTGTGCCCCAAACATTGTTGCATTTATCCATTTATCTAAAATTGTCTAACATACCACAGATTCTTATTTCTCTGATTGTATATTTTGAACTTTAGTGTATCTTAAAGTCACCCTTATCCATAGGTATACTGGCAAATTTAACCAATGATTCTCAGATAGTGGCAGAGTGGGGGTTGGGTTACTGTGGAGTTGGAGAAAGGTTTGCACATTTGACCTTCCAGAGCCAGTGAGAGCTGGCTCCAGCACCAGACTGCCTTTATCTAGATTTTTAATTTACAATTGCTATAAATACATTTAATTTTTTAACATTTGTTTTTAAGACTTTCTTCATCTAGTTTTGTTTTAGTTTGTTTTGGTTTTGGTTAATTTCCTCTATTCTGGTATCCGAATCGATCCTATAAGAATCTCTGAGTTCCAATTTGATTCTCAGGCTATAGTTTTATTTTTCCTAAAATGTTTGGCTTGTGAAGACAACTTGGGATTCTTTGTATTGCATGTCCAATTGCTTCACTGACCCCTTCCTTGAACAAAGAAACAGAGATACATGACTTGCCTTCTTTTTTTTAACCTTAAAGAAATACTTATTTTTTTTTAAACTGAATCATGGAAGAGAGTTAGAATATGTACTTAATTTTTTTAAAATAAGTAATAATCACATAGTTTGTAAATCAAAAAATATATAAAGACATGGAGTAAAAGAACTTTTTTCACCTCTGGCCCTGTTTACCCATTTCCTTTCCGACCCCTGCCAGTACACACAGGGCACCATTGTTACTAATTTCTTACATATCTATCCAGTGTTTCTTTACAAATGTATAAACAAATATGGATATACATCTATTATATTCCTTTTCTCACCCAAATTAACATATAAGTGGCTCTGTACTTTGATTTTTCACTTAATGACATCTTGGAGATTTGTTTTGTATAAGTAACTTAAACTCCTTTTTCATTTTTCACTGGCATCCTCTTACTCCACTATTAAGGATATACCATAATCGATTTGGTCCTCCGTTAAAGGATATTGAGGCAGTATATTTCTTTTTTACATTCTAATATTGTGTTATTCTGTCTTCCACTGAAAAGGAAATGAATCTAATTTATTAATAATGATTTGGGGGACTCAGATTTGCTTACTTCAGATGGGACATATGACAACTTTCAACAATACTATGTAGAACTTTGACAGGGTAGTCCTAACAGTCATAGGGCCAGACCTAGCCTAAACAATTTTGAAGAAGTAGAATTTGGACAGAAAATCACTGTGCCCAAATCCATACCATCATAATTAAATTAATGTAGTGTCAATATAGGGAGAGACTAATATCCAATAGAACAGACTATAAACCCTAATTATATAAATTAGTATATCAAAAAGTGTGTATGTGTGTGTATGTATATATGAAATACTTAAAACATGGCATGCTGTATAATAAGCACTACATAAATGTAATTATTGTTGCTATAGGAGCATACACCTTTATAGATGTGGGAAGAATTTTTCTAAAAATATTTTGAAAACAATGACAAATACAACTTTTGGTACTTTGAAATACAAAGCTATGTAAAATACAAAAATTAAAAGACAAGGCAGAGGTTAATAGAAAGTAGTTACATATCTAACCAACAGAATATTGGTCCAGAACATATAAAGACCTCTTACAGTTTCTCTATCAAAAATAAAAAGAGGGGCACCTGAGTGGCTCAGTCAGTTAACCATCTGACTTCAGCTCAGGTCATGATCTCACAGTTCGTGAGTTCAAGCTCCGCATCAGGCTGTCTGCCATCAGCTGAGAGCCTACTTCAGATCCTCTGTCTCACTCTCTCTCCTCCTCCTCCTTCTCTCTCTCTCTCTCTCACTCTCTCTCACGAGACACACACACATACACACACACACACACACACACACACACACAAATAAATAAACATAAAAAAATGAATACAAGGACAAACAGCCAGTAGAAAAATGGTCAAAGAATAAAATCAACCAGTTCTTTGAAAAGAAAATCTAACCAGACATCAAACCTTCAAAGATACTCAGGCTCACTAGTAATAAGGGAAATGCAAGTTAATACCTTTTCAGGTTTATCAGACTGGCAAAAGTTCTTAAGTCTGAGGATAATAAATTTTGGGAAGCTGCTAGGGAAACAGGAACTCATACACTCTTGGTAGAAATGTAAATTGGTATAATGACTTTGGAGTGTAAATTGGCAGGATTTAGTAAAGTTGATGAGAGGTAGTCTCAGTGACCCAACATTTCACTTCTAAGTACATTCCTTAAATAAATATTTATGCACTTGCACTGGAAATGTGTACAATAGTGCAACCTGATATACAAGCTAGAAAATGTTGGCACTGTAAATTTTTACACAAAGAAGAATGGATAAATTAATTATGGAATACTTTATCACAGTTAAGGATATAGTATTCTTATATCTACATGTATCATCATAGATAAATCTCAAAAATCATAACATTGAATAGTCAATGAATAAAGAAAGTTGCAGAAGTATAGGTGCCAACTGTGAAAGTTTTATAAACACTTTATATTGTTTATGAGTGTGTGTGTTTTAGTATATATATACTAATAAAACATAAGAACATAGATGTAAAAGATTTAAATTCAGAATAGAAATTCTCTGGAGGGAGGAAGAAGAATAAAGATGTATCTACTTTCTTTGGAAGAATATGGCAAAAGTCTGATTAATCTAAATGGTTGGTGTCATAATCTGCACAAGCTTACATGTTTGAAATATTGAAGAATTTAACTTTTTAAAAATGAGAAATTACTGTCAATTCCTTTGGTTACACAACAACAACAACAACAACAACCTAGCATAGAGTTAGCAGTATCGAGTAAATTTCAAAAGTAGACACCCCGGATTTGAATTTTGGCTTCACCAACACTTTGCTGTCAAGACCACCCCATATGGCTACGCATAACACCAGCAGGCATTCACATAGTCTAGGACATGGATGATACCTTTTGGAGTCGTGTAACATGTTCATCCTGACTGAGAGCCTGGACAACCTTCTTAACTTCCTTGAGCCTCAGTTTCTCACCTAAGTGAAAATAATAATACATATACAAGAGATATTGTCGGACTTTAGTAAGATAACACATGTAAAGTGTTTACCATAATGTCTGACACGCAGCAAATGCTCAATAACAGCTAATTGCATTCGTACATAGGATTATTCCTATTTTTGTCTTTTATTTTCCGAAATGAGCCAAAATTATACTTAAGCCACTGAAACCGTATCATCCTCAGTTATGAAAACTTAAGAGGATGTACTACCCAAGTTGAACTTCACAGCTAATTAGTGTCCACGCATTGTTTTTGCAAGACTTTTTCTTGCCATAATCTTTCTAAATGTAATATGGATTCTACCCTTTCCAGCCTTCTTCAATAAAGCAAACAAAATGTGTCCTTTGGTGATGATTCAAGATCACCATTCCATCAGTATTTGTACTATGTAGATGTAATAATGACTGAAGTTTCAAACAGCAGTTCACACTGGGTAAAATAAGGAGTCATCCCAGGAGATGCTTCTAGTACTTTCTCTCTTGAGAGATGCCCTCGAGATGTGCTTAATTTCTGATTTTATTTTTTATAAAAATGAATTAAGGTATGTATGAAAACACTGTCTATCAACCTAACTTTGATTGCCTTTTATAAAATGACTTACTGAATTAAAGAACAAAGCAGCCATCTCCTGAACTGTTGTCTTATCCTCCACAATAGTGATTCCTGCAAATTGTCAGATGATGCTATTGGATCACACTTAACAATCATAGACTCTGTGGTCAGACAAACTTGAGTTCTAATTCTAGCTCTGCCATTTCTTACTTGTGTGACTTTGTTCAAATTGTTTGAACTCTCTATGACATTTGTGTAAGATGTCCTACCTTACTAGAATTGTCTGGATTAAATGAAAATATGAATTTAAAGTTCTTATTATTATAATCCCTATATACTCAATAAATGTTGGCCATTATCAATGCAATCATGATCTATATCATGTTTCATCCAAGATTTTATTTTACATTTTCACATCTCTTTGAAACTGGTGGGTATTTTACAGGCAATCGCCTTTTATAATTATAATTGGCAGCATTTCCCCCAAGTTATACATAAAATAGTGGTATATTTTATAGTCAGTGGCACCTTAGATTCAGAGAAAGATGGTAGTACATGCTCAGTTAATATTCATTAAGTAAAATTGTGACCAAGGACATTTAACTTATCAAC